ATCTCTGTGTGTCTGTCTATAAATGTGTGTGTGTGTTTCTATGCATGGGTATGTGTGTGTGTGTATGTATGTGTATGTGTGTGTGTATCTCTCTGTGTGTGTCTATGCATGGGTATGTGTATGTGTGAATGTGTGTTCGAAGGTTGTTAAATGTGTACTAAATTTTTAGAGATAACTCCATCTTCTCCTGTCCCGTCCTTCTCATTGCTCAGACAGAGAATTCACCGTGCCAGGTTTGAGTGTGATAACTCATCACCTAGAATATGTGACTTGATAAAGAACAAACAGTAACTGTCATTAGCGCAGAATTTATGTCAAGTCTGTCCTGAGCCTCTTTCTATTCACTTGGTTTTTGGTTTTTTTTTTTTTGGTTTTTCGAGACAGGGTTTCTCTGTGGCTTTGGAGCCTGTCCTGGAACTAGCTCTGTAGACCAGGCTGGTCTCAAACTCACAGAGATCCACCTGCCTCTGCCTCCCAAGTGCTGGGATTAAAGGCGTGTGTCACCACCGCCTGGCTATTCACTTGGAAAAGAGAAACCTTCCTCTTCTCCCAGGTGCACATATTTTTATTCCTCATCATATTGATATAACAAAACTTTTTATTGCTTGAACAGGCTCGTTCACCAACAACAATGACTGTTCATGTTCTTGTTGATAATGGTGGTCATTGTTGCTTTAGCCTAGATCTAAAGAGCTCAGGAAAAGGACCAGTATAGCAATGGAGCTGGTCACCGAGCATCCCATTTTGTTCTTGGATGATCCCACCACTGTCTTAGACTGGAGCACTACTACTGATGTCATCTTGGTCCTGAGAAGGTAAGTGCTGAAGGAACATTAAATTTTATTCTCTTAATTTGGGACAGATGCTTAAAAGAAATCCCACAGTAGCTCAGAATTGAGAAATAGATGGTTATTTATTTAGGGGAAACTCACAAATCAGAATTCTCTGTTTGAATGGAGAACAGAGATCGAATCCAGAAATCCAAAAGAGCAGCCAGGGAAGAAAGAAAAAGGGGGCAGATGCAGGCTCTGCATCAGCATTTATAGTATAAGAGGCCACGCCCCAGTAGGCGGTAACCACAAGCTGTAAAATTTCTTACAGCATCTTAATACCTGATCTCATGTATGTATTTTTGGTGCAGGAGATTCAGAGGTAAGCTACAAAATTTCTTCCTTGTTTATTGGAGAGAAACTTGAAGTAACAAGGAATACACATCAAGAACAATGAGACAGGAGCATAGGGAATATGGCTGTGGTGCAGGTGGAGACTGCTTTATAATACTCAAGCATTGGTCAAGAGAGCTGAGTGGGTGAGATCTGAACAGAGTGCTGTATAAAGGGAAAATGCATTTGTTCTGAGGCAGAGCATGTTTGGTGTGTCTGGAACATTAGAGAGGCAGGGTGGACCAGAACCTGGTGGCCTGAGGAGAATGAAGATTACCAGTGCACAGCTAAAGATACCACAGGCTGGGTGACTTGATAGAAGTTACATTTCTTACAGTTCTGGATCCCAATGCCAGTTATTAGGGTATCTATAGACTGTGTCTGCTGAGGCCACGGTCACTGGGTTGTGCATGATGTCTCCTTCCTATGTGTCTGTGCCCTGATCTCAAAGGGACACCTTTACACCAGGGCACACTCGTATTCTCATTTAAAATTAATTACCTTTTTAAAGACTTCATCTCCAATTATAGTCATATTCTAAGTTCTTAGATGTGAAATATTCCACAAATGAGTCCTTAGAAAGACACAATTTAGCTCTCCACCTTCACAACTGAATGGAGGGTATTCGTTGGGTTGGATGTAGATTGCCTAGACCCTCTGGGCCACTGTAAGGTCTAAGGTTTTCCATGGCAGGGGATGTGGGAAAGCTTCTGAGTTTGGAGCAGAGCAATGCATCATGGAGAAGGTTGTGCAGCTACACTATGGGGATGTAAATATCAGCAGGAGGCTGAGATCTTGTGGTTCCCTTGCTGGGAAATAGTGGATCCTAGGTAGCTTAGAATATAGAATAAAGAGCATTATCTGTTGTACTAGCCTTGGATGTGATATGGGGAATGATTGCTTAGGTCTGGGTCCGAAACCTGGGGAATAATGAGTAGAAGAAATGACATTTTCTTCTCTCATGAAATAAGTCTGTGGTTGAAATATTTAAAGAAAATCTGTAAGTGTTGGGTTTTGTACATTTTAGAAATTAGTAGAATTCAAACTGACTAAATAACCCCAAGAACCATCTAAGGACTATCCCATTCCCATGACCTAGGCTCCAGGCTAATGTGAGAAACAATCCCACACCAGTTTAGATTTAAAGGGGTATTTATTTTAGGGGTAAAACTTACAAAACACCAACCGTTAGGAAAGAAGTCTAGTCGCTGGAGCAAGAGCCGGAACCAAGAGAGTGAGCCTAGGCTTGCTGCTCTTTTTTAAAGAGAAAAAGACCATGCCCCAGTGGGCTGGTATTTCAGTGGCTATTGGCTGAAGGAGCGGAAGGTGCTCCCGTAGCACCAGGCCATTGAACTTTACTGTGCTCTCTGTTTTTCCTTCCTCCCCCTTGTTCTTTGCTTTGTTCTGACATCATGGTCCTTACATACCCCGTCCTATCCCTCTAAGAGCCAAGATCACTTTACCGTTGTACCTTCCCAGTGATGAAGTTAACAACTGGCACCTTGCCACTTTCTATCTGCAGATACCTCGTGAGTCAGCCTCTTCCCTGTCTGTCCTCTCCTGGATACTCTAATATCAGCTTCTTGCTCATGTTCCTGTGTTGAGTGCTTCTCTCTGTTCCTGTGTCTTATGCCATTGCTCGTCTTAGTGCATATTATAGGGTCATCCCAGAGTTCTGGGAGGAGGCTCTCCTTGGTTTCAACATCCCACAAAGAGTACCTTGTGGTAGAATCATTTTAATTTTTTTCATTTTATCTATCTATCTATCTATCTATCTATCTATCTATCATCTATCTATCATCTATCATCTATCTATCTATCTATCTATCTATCTATCATCTATCTATCTATCTATCTATCATCTATCATCTATCTATCTATCTATCTATCTATCTATCTATCTATCTATCATCTATCATCTATCTATCTATCTCTATCATCTATCTAGTGTGTGTATGTGTGTGTGTAGCATGTTTTTAGAGGACATAGGAAAACTCAAGGGACTTGGTTTTAGCCTTTCACCCACTGGGTTTTGGGGATCAAAATCAAGTCTTGAGACTTGGAATCAAGTGTCTTTACCCACTGAGCCATATTGCTTACCTTGCTTGAATCTTGAACATCTAAACATGCTTGTGGTTCCTGATTATATAATATGAAATTTGAGCTTTTTCTTTTGTGATTTATGAATAGTCTGTCAGGAAAACAATTGGCCATTAGGCCATTATTGTGCTCTTATTTCCTGTCTACCAAGGTTGTCCTGCTGGAATTCAAGGTGAGCACTACCACACCTTGATTGCCCACTCTCTCTTTTTCTTTTCTCCCTTCTTCTCTCCCTATCCTCCTCCCTTCCTTGCTTCCTTTCTTCTTACCTTCCTTCCTTAATCTGTTCTTCCCTCCCTTCCTTCCTCACTCTCTTTTTTTGTTCTTTCTGTATGTGTTAATGAAATATAGTCTCATGTAACCTAGGTGGGCCTTGAATTCTTAATCCTCCCAAGTTCTGGGATATGACAGTTTTACCCAGCTTTAAAACAAAACATAATTCTTGATTCTTGGGATTTCACATCATGCACCCCAATACCGTGCAACTCCCAGTCAGTCCCCCCATATCCATACTTCACCATCAGCATACCCCCTACATGCCTTACAGCAGGCCACAGATGGGGTACATGTTGGGTTGGGCAAACTCAAAGCCCTGGACGTGTGCCTGGGTGGTAGCTGAGCTGGTCAGTCCAGGACAGATATGCCACCATTCCCAAATTTTATAAACATATTTTCAAGGAAGTTTTAAGTACTGTTTTGGGTTATTGCTTCCCCTAACATAAGATATGACTTTCTCAAATGGCCATTCAGTTCATTTTTTCCTATAATAGAATTAAACCAACAATCTATTCCCAGCTTTGTCCCTCACTAACTGACCTCTTGGATTGTTGCTTGGTCTTTTAAGACTTATGTTGAAGAATCTCAAGAATTTGTTAAGGTAAAATAGGGATAAAACTCAATGATACAAAACAAATTAGATCCAATTGCTGCGCCCTGCCATTTTGCCAAGGGGGAATGTAAACCATTTGCTGCTTGCTGTGACAGAGGGGGGAGGGAGAGGGAGAGAGAGACAGCAAGAGAGAGAGTGTGGTCTCTCTCTCTCTCTCTTTCTCTCTCTCTCTCTCTCTTTCTCTCTGTTCTTAAGAGGTTTTTATGCAGATAGGACCATACCCTAGGCCTTGCTTCCCCAAAAGTCGTTGGCTAAATGGATTTAAATCCCACAAGACCTTATCAACACAAGAGGAAACTGTACTACAAATGCCTCATGCTGATATTGTGAAAAAAAAATTAGGTTTTTGCTGAAGTGTTTAGTGGGAGAGCAAGTGGTTAGGAATGTGAGTCACATCATCAGAACAGTGAACACCAATTCCTGAAGAGATAAAGTGTGAACGATTGAGGGGAATTGTGCTTACAGCCACAGCTGTAATGTTTGCTCTGTCATTGCTTCTCAAGCTTGGGTGAACCTGTCAATCACCAGGGCTGCCTGCTCATGATATGGATTCCCTGCGCTGACTCCCAGATATTCCAATTTGGTGTCTAGAAGACTGTGCAGGGATCGACATTGCCAGTAACACTTGAGTGGACCTTGAACTCCTGATGTTCCACACTTCAAGAAGTCCTAATCTTTTAAATAAAAGCTTGGATCTTGGTTTCTCTATCAGGTGCATAACACAAGTGAGACGAATTGTTTTTAAGGAGAATTCAAGCTGAAATGAGAACAGAGAGTACAAATATTTTGTCAGGAATCTCAAGGTTTCTGTTCAGTGACTTATGACTTTTCCTCTCTTTGAACTTAGGATGTCTATGAGGGGACGGACAATCATCTTCTCCATTTATCAGCCCCCGTACTCCATCTTCAGACTGTTTGACAGCCTCACCTTAGTGGCCTCAGGAAAAGTCATGTTTCACGGGCCTGCACAGGAGGCTTTGGAGTACTTCACATCCGCAGGTATGGCTGGATTTGCTGTGAGAGCTCATTCTTTCACGGGATCTGAGGAGAGAATGGGGGTTCACAGGAATGCTGCTTGGCCCTCATGCAGACTCATTGTATGTGAGGTTTCTCCATTTTAAATACCTTTGGTTAATTTGGTGACAGGATTCTGCTACTTGTGCAGCACAGGCTTGCTATGCAAGTCTCCTTCCTTTCTCCTGTCCTGTATCATGCCTGTGTTTCAGGATTGTTACTGAGCCTCTCGTTCTGCTTCCTAGTCATGGTGACCCTCTTAATTAACATGCTGGCCTCAGGCCCAATTATCCATAACTTGAACAGCTTTGGCAAGGCCCAGCATCACTGTGTTCTTGCTCATGCAGCAGACGATGATTTTCAGGTTTCCCCTCGTGTCACCTGACTGCTGTGGAGAGGTTACTTAACTTAGCAGTAACTTTGCATTTCAGGTTTAGGCAATAATTGAGAGCCGTAGTGGCTCAAGTCTGGGTTCTGTGGACTCATGTTTTGGTCTGCCTGTTTTTTTTGTTTTTTTTTTTTTTCAGTCAGGTTGGATGATTACATGCATTTGATGGGTCATGCCATCAAATTAATCTTAGAGAAATGTGGATATTGTTATGGATTATTCTCTTTGACAAAAATATAGGTTTAAATATTTGCTGCCCTTTAAAAATGTGTGAGCTTTTATGAGTCTGTGGAGTTCAATAAAAATTTAGCGTAATTCAAGTGATCCTTTCACAGGAAGAGTTCATATATCTATGTCTAGTCTATGTTTATTCTATCCCCATGTCTAATCTACCTCTATGACCAGATCTTTGTCTAGTCTACGTGTTTGTCTAGTAGTCTTGGTCTACGTCTAGGCTATGTCTACTCTGTCGATGTCTGTGTATTATATATGTGTAAGTGTATATGTATGTATAGCACCAATGTAAGCATACAATGTATACAATAGGTTGTGAAACAGAGATTGCTGAAATACTATGATTGTATATATAATAAGAAAGGATAAGATAGTGGATGGGAGGGGCAAGAAGAGGAAGAAGTTCTTAGATTCTGCCCCTCCCCCACTTTCCCACTCTCTGAAAAGAGAGTCCTCACATTTGTATTCATGGTCCACCTTCTTTGTAGGTTACAACTATGATTCCCACAACAACCCTGCCGACTTCTTCCTGGACATCATTAGTGGACATCATTTCTCTGCTCTATTCCACACAGAGGAAGATGGCCATGGATGTACGTGAGTCTTCTAGAGTCACAGATTTTTAACTAATTGATTTCATTAAAACACAACTATTGCCTCAGGGATCAGCCTCTAGACAGCTCAGGGTTCAGAGGGAAGCCATGTCAATGGTGAGATTAAGACCTTTTCTATCTAAGGGGTTAGGAAGAAAGACACTCACGCATTCTGTCAATCGTATCCTTCTTTATTCATCAGCCTCTTCTGATGGACTGACTGGGATGGATCTGGCTGTGTGGTCACAGCTGTACAGAAGTGTGTTTATCAATTGTTACATAATATACTACTTCATTCCAAAGTCTCCAAACTTAATCTACATGTCTTTTTGAAGGGAGCATCAAGTGCTTCCATGACTCTAGTCTTTCATTAAGCATTGTGTGCAGTCACAATAATACAAGAGCCCCAGGTGTGCATGAGGTGTTCTGTGTCCAAGGTTATGGGATGCCCACAAGGTCTTCTCAGTCAAACAATCATTATCCTCCACATGGATTCTTTAGGGTCAGAGTACTTCCAAGAAACATCTGTTTATCCTAATCTCTGTCCCATACGGTGATTTTGCTAATTTCCTATGCATACAGGTGACATGTTTTTCATCCCCCTTATAAAATTAAAAGTAAAGCCATCCCAATATCCCATATATATTTATGTCTAAGTAGTGTATTTCAGATCAACAGAACATAAGCAGAGAGAAAACATTTCTTCACAGACAACTCCCTTGTCGGCAGGCATAGCCATACTGTGCCTACAGAGAGAATCAGTAATTCTACTGTATATCTGTAAAGTCAGTCTTACAAGGAATGCTAAAGGAATCCCAAACCGAAGCTTTGTACATAAAAGACAATCAGTCAGCTGTAATTAGATCCTCAGGGTGTATACCCATTATTATTAGTTTCTTATATCAGGAGAATTGAGGGCAGGGATGGCTTACATGGACACCAAGACCTGTGTTTGTATCTGATAAGTAAAAATAATAAGAAAGAGGCAGCTCCACTGATGCAAGAAATCTAATTAGGTCAAATGAAACCATATCAAAATGCCCATTGTTTTATTAAGAAGACGCTCTTGGGTGGCCAAGTGCGTGGCAGAAAGACAGGATAGCAGGGAGCCCATGCATATCCGAATACCACGTGTTCCTCCTCCTCTGGGAGCACACTTAAATATCCTGTGGGAGTGATCCTGACCATCCCTAGGGAGGATTCAGGACCTGGCACGCTGGGATTTAAAGTCCAGACCAAAGCATCTCCCAGGCCAGGTTGGCTGGGATGGATGCCAGGGCATAGAGTCAAGTCTGGCTACTTCCTGTGGGCATAGGGCAACATGGGGAGGGGAGAGCTGGCTGTTGTTGGGTCCATGTATAGCAGGTGGTGTGGCTGGAAAGGGATTTTCCTCACTGTCATCCCAAAGACGCCAGACATTTGTTTCTTGAGGGAGATAAAAAGGCAGGTGCCTAGGAGAAAAAAATAACAACTCAAAGATAAAATTCCCTAGAAGAACATGACGTTTCCAAAGAGGAAAACATTATCTTACAGGCAGTGGGGAATTTCTCCAAACCCAATTCAACCATGCCAGATATCAGGGAAAGGTAGCAGCAGCAAGACAGCAAGCAGGCAAAGGGAAAGCAGAAGTAAAAGACATCCTGGGGTCTGTGGTCTCAGAAGTCCTTGCCTAACTGAGATGATCAAGGGATTTCCTCCTGGTGGGCCAACTCCTGGAACCTCAATCAACACCTGCTGCTCCTCTGACATGGCCTCGGGCATCATGGCCTCTGGTACCCAACCACATGTCTCATTAGAAATAGGTCTTATGTATATTCAGTGTCTAAAATTAACTAACAGGCTTTGCTGTCTCTTATTGCTGTTTTTTTTTTTTCAATTTAATTTACGAAAGAACATTTATATGATATTGTCACTTGGCAATTTATACATTTGCATATACATTCACATGTGGCAGAAAGCAAGGACCAAGATTTTATGTTAAAATGTATAGATCCATATGGGGAGGAGAACGTTTTTAAGAATTGGGATCCATATGGGAAAAGGCCAATCAGATTGCTGTGTCCTTGGGATAATAACAGCAGTCATGCCAGTTAGGGGCACTTTTCCGATCTGAAAGGAAATACACAGGAGTAATTTTATTATGCTCAAAATTTGGTGGGCTGAAGATGGAGCTCGGCTGGTAGAATGCTTGCCTAGCATGCACAAAGCCGTGAGTTTAGTTCCAGCACATAACTGGGTGTGAAGGTGCATGCCTGTAATCTCAGCACTTGAAACAGAAACAGGAGGACCTGGAAGTTAAAGGTCGCCCTTGGCTTCATATCTGCTTTGAGGTCAGTCTAGGTACATGATAGTGTCGCAAAGAAAAACTGATACATAATTTATGTTTTATTCATGAGTATTGTCTCAGAAAAATCAGTTAAACTATTGTCTGTGTCTTACCTTTATCCATTTTTATCCCAAAGCTGATGAACCTAAAGATCTTACTGAGATACAGCACCAAGTCACAGAAGAATTAGTCAATATGTATGTCCAGTCCTCCTTGTGCAGTGAAATGAGAACTGAACTGGACTCACTCTTGGGGGGACAGAATGCAGGGAGAAGCTCAGCCTTGGAGGAGATCACGTGGGTCACCCCTTTCTGGTATCAACTCTGGTGGATTATCTGTCGTTCATTTAAAAACTTCAAGGATTTTCCAAAGATGAGTATAATTAAGGTAATCCAATGAGTTATTTTAATTGTATTGTAAGAAACTCACATGGGAGAAATTTGTTTCTGAGTCAGTCTACTGCAGGGTCACACTTATCCTCTGCTCCCTTCCATGTGTCTGTCTTCTCCACTCTGCCTGGCATAGAGGAATATTCAATAAAACAAATAGACCACGATTAAGTTTTTACTTTCAGAAAAAGTCTTTAGTGGTGGTTTTTATTTAGAGGAACTGTAATGACTAACCCAAGTAGGAAATTTAATTCAGGGAATGCAAAAAGTCCAGCACACCTGTGAGCTCCTCACACCTGTCTGCTTTATTTCATCAGTGCATCCTACAAGTTCAAAATCTAGGAATGAGTCAAGGAGTAAAAGGTCTTTTTACTGATGTAATTTTCCTTGTGAGGGGATGGATGGTAACTGAATAAATATATAGAACTGTAGCCTGTCAGATGAGAGAATGGACTTGGAGAAGGTTCAAGTAGAGAAGGGTGGAGATGACTGGAGAGGGAAAGGACGGGTGATCTGTGGTTGAAATCATGTGGTGAGGAGACAGGGCCATAGAACAGCTCTGAGGGAGCTGAGCATCCACTGCCTGAGATGAGCCAGCTGCAGAGTGCTGGTCCCTCATCAGGAGTCCAGTGTGTGAAAGCAGCAGCTACTCAAAGAGTGCAGCTCACACACAGTAACTGGACTGCACAATGCTCTTCCCTGTCAGCCACTGGAACTGGGAGGAGGTGAAGTTCTACTTTTCTTCATACTGATTATGTAACCAGGATCATCATGCCTTAAGGTTGTCTGTTATTTTAACATAATTGTCACACAGAAGTGTGGTTCTTCCAGCTCACTGGGCCATCACTTATTCAGTTATTTTTGTTTCATGATGATGATGATTCTGCGGTGTTAATGTTTGATCCTGGGCCTTAGCCATTAGTGAGCAAACACTCTACTGTGAACCTACATCCTTGTCAGCATCCAACCAGAACTTACAGTCATTTTTGCTCTTAGTGCGTTGTCATTTCATTCTCAGGCATTTAGTTTCTGTCTAATATTGAAAGGTTGTATGCTGTTGGCTATAGTGAAACACCACTTACTTCCTAACATGTGTGATGCCCTTTTCATATTTCAATGTTTCTTTCTTCCCTGTGTATGTGAATATTCTGACCATTTGATTTATACTGGTCTTTTGGTTTTACTTGAGGACTTATGTCATAAAAAAGATATTTTTATGTCCATTCTTTTTGAAAAAAAGATTCTATATGAATGGAAAACAGTGAGTTACATTCATCAAATTGGGTCACTCCTTGTTCAACAGTGAGGCAGTTTAATGGGGTAAGAAGTGTGTACTAGGAACTGAGGACTAATTTTAATATTTGTTATTTATTTTTTATGTGTGGGTGTTTTGCCTGCATGTACAAATTCTCATGATGTGCATGTCCATGGATGCCAAAAGACAACATCAGATCCTCTGGAATTGGAGTTACATAAAATGCTTACGGGCCATTTGGGTGCTGGGAACTGAATCTCAGGTCCTCTACAAGAACAGCAAGTGCTATAACTACTGAGCCCTATCTCCAAGTTCTGAAATTTTCATTTCTGATTTATCAAGTTACATGGTAGGATGCTTTCCCTTAGATCATAATATTTTACTTTTAAAACATTATCCCTGTAATAATATTTAGACTATTTCAAATAAGTTACAGTATCATGTAGCCTTATTCCTTTGCTAATAGAAGCACCTTTTAAAGTCATCTTAATGCAAAACCAAAGCAGTGCAGGCTCCTGTGATGGTTGGCACAGACTGGGTAGATGGAGGTAGATGGGGATCTGGAGAAGCTGGCTGCATAGGTGAGACTTGAGCCCCGGCTGATCTGACTGAGGCTGATGGAGCAGCAGTGACAGAGGTGATGGGCAATGGGAGACTGGGGTGACCCAGAGGACGCTGTATGATCACTGTGGTGACAGCAATAGTGCTGGTTCCCACGACGGCAAAGACTTCCCTGAGGTGACACAGGTGAGGACCAGCTCACCCCTTCTTAGCACACAAAATCCCATTGCTGGGAACTGTGTTGTGAGTCATTTTAAATTTTGTTATTTGGTTTACACTTAAGGGGATTAACATTACTGTATGTTGTCACTAAGCTGTCCCCCTGGCCTAGGGTGCACTTGTTTCTGACGATAAAGGTAAAGAAAGACTGAATTCCCTTGAACCACTTGAAGTAGAAAGCTGCACATGTTCGCTGGCACCAGAGCTGAGATCTCAGTTTAGGTGAACACTTTCTGTCACTTACCTGGGTTTGTTCCCAGAGCTCCCAAGGCGCTTGCATTTTCTCCCACTCTGTGTCATCCAGGTTTTAGTACCTGAACTGAGTCCCTCACTGGCCATTCCTGCTGGAGCACTGGGAGAAGTCTTAGCTTTTCCAGGGTCTGCACTGTTGGAGCCTCAGATTGCAGAAACATTCATTGTCAGTCTGACACATGAGCAGTTTATTGACATGCATGTTGTATATTCTTCCAGGGACTCTGGCCATAATATAATGTTTATATCACTGGAGATATTTGATTAGTAAACTATATATTCCAAAAGAATGTACCATGTGAAGAATACTTTCTACTCCCATTTGAAATTTTTTCCTCTGTTTTCATTTTGAAAGGCATTTATCATATTCATACTGACTGTGTATTCGTGTATCACTTTACATGTCCTAAGAAACGACTGTACTGCAATCCACACCAGGTAAGCAAATGAGAAAACGCTGTCACTTTGTTCAAACCTATATAAATCCACGAAAAATTTGAATTCATGACAAGAACAGAGTAAACATTTTACCATGTGATAGTGTTTGAAGACTGAATGAAAATATCACTTTTTCACATATGTTTGTGTGTAGATAGTATGAAACTCCACACATCTCATTTTTGCCTGTTTTAGTGTGTGGAGTGTTTTCATGTTAGTTATGTAGATAGTATGAAACTCTACACACCACACATCACATTTTATATGTTTTAATGTATGGAGCCAAGCTGCTGAGTGTGCGAGACCATCTCTTTGAGTGCTGAAGCGAGAGCTGTCCAATCATAGCCCACTGTGTTAACTGTTTGAGGAGCTGCTGTCCTGTCTCCAACTCCACTGTACTCTTTTATATCCTCACCAGCACAACACAAGGGCTCCAATATGTGCACATGCTCACCCAAACTTATGTTCTTTCTTGTTTAGAATAAGCTATCTAAGAAAAAATAAATCACAATTCCTTCGATGTCTTATGAAGTGTCTCCGTCTCTGGTCTTCCTCCATCTCCCTCAGCTTGTACCGTCTAGTTCTCACCCTCCTACTCCTTGTTCCCTCTTCCTCCCCTTCTTACTTCCCTTCTCCCCCCACACCCATGTTCCCAATTTTCTGAGATCTTTTCTCCCAATTTTCCCTTCCCAGGGGGATCTAATTATGTTTCCCTTAGGGATCTTCTTGTTATTTAGCTTCTCTGGGGTCATGGACTATAGGCTCCTTATTCTTTGCTTTACAGCTAGTATTCACCTATGAGTAGGTACAGATAATGCTCTTTATTTGGGGTCTGGGTTACCTCACTCAGAATGGTTTCATCTAGTTACATCTATTTGTATGCAAATTTCAAGATGTCATTGTTTTTTTACTGCTGACTAGTACTCCATTGTGTAAATGTACCATATTTTCTTTATCTGTTCTTTGGTTTAGGGGCATCTAGATTAATTGCACGTTCTGGCTATTACAAATAATGCTGCTAAAAGCATAGTTGAACAAGTGTTCTTGTAATATGGTTGAGCAGCCTTTGGGGGCAAAAAATACTGAATAAAATATTGACAAATCAAATCCCCAAGAACATGAAAAAAATTGGCTCATTAGCTCTAGCCTCTCACTGGCTAACTCTCACATCTTGATTAACCCATTTTTCTGATCTATGTTAGCCATGTGGCTCAGTACCTTTTTCAGTGGGGCAAATCACATCCTGCTGCTTCGGAGGTCTGGGCAGGAGTGGGAGGAATCAACTTTCTCCTTCCCAGAATTCTCCTGTTCTCATTACGTCATTTCTACTTCTTGTCTGGTTTTCCCACCTATATTTCCTGCCTGGCCAATCAGCATTTGTTTAAAACATGATTGACAGAATACAGACAATTCTCCCGCACCATTCTATGAATTGTCTTCTGTGTGAATTAGAAGTTAGTCTGCAGTGAGATGACTGCTACAGCTGTTTCCAGTCTGTCCTCTTCACCTTCCCCGAAGGCCAAGATCTGAATGCTTTCCAGACCTGCTAGTACCTGGTTTGTGCCTGTGTAGATGGCAAATCTTAACCCAGAACAGCACAGACAACAAGATAGGCAGTGTAGACACTGTCACAGGAAGCATTCAGATATGAACTCTGTAAAACTTGACATGGAAATATTCTTGGAAAATGTAGGCATAAAAAAGAGCTTTATTAACTGTTCCTTCATATTCTTTCTAAAAATTGTGAAATGCTCTTAATTTTTATTTTTCTATTCCTCTCCTCCAGTATTGTATAAGAAGCTGGACTGTGTGACAATGGTCTTTGTGTTTGATTTATCTTAATCATCCTGATTAGTGATTGATTTTTTTTTTTTGGTTTGTGTGCCAGTTAGTTTATTGCCATCTTGGTCCAGTCCAAGTCATATGTGAAGAAGGAATCTTGATTAAGAAATACATCAATCAGGTTGACTTGTAAGCAAGTCTGTGAGACAATTTCTTGATTAATACTGGATGTGGGAGGGGCCAGTCCACTGGGAATAGTGCCACTTCTGGGCAGGTGTTTCTTAGTTGAATAAGCATGCAGTATGAGCAAGTCATGAGGTGCAAACCAGTAAAGAGAAATCCTATGTGGTCCCAACTTCCATCTCAGTCTCCCAGATCCTTCCTTGATTTCCTGTCTGACTTTCTTAGGGGGATGGACTATGACCTGTGATGTGCATGCCAGATCAATACCATTCTCCCCAAGTCTCTGTTGATGAGGGTATTCATTGCAGCAGCACAAACCCAAGTAGAACAGCTCAAAAACACTTCCTCAATATTATTTAATAAAGCTATTAGATTATTTTCAGATTCAATATCAATATTTTGATCACCAATGTTCAGGAGGCAGAGATACTTCTCATGTTTGGATCCAGCATAGCCTTCATACTTTGTCCAACTGCATAACTAGGAACTGGGTTTGAATTTTGTGTCATATGAACTCCTTTGGCTCCACAGCATTATGGGGCTGAGGTGGCAGTCATGAAGGAGAAGACATTTATAGAAATAATTGGATAAAGACAATTATTCTGAGCACACTTACGTGCATGTTTAAAATCATTTACCCAAAATTTATGTGAAGACTGATGTTCATTGGGGCACTATGCACAATAACAAAGTTAAGAGATCTAAGTGTCTGACGACACATAAACGGTAAAGAAGATGTGACCCAGAATGCTGCTTCTCTTCAAAATGGGAATTTGTAACAATATGGATAGAATTAAAGATTTGCGGAATATCATGCAAAGTAAGATAGTCTAAACTTAGAAAGGCAAACATGTTTCACTGACATGCAGATTGTAAAGAAGTTGACCTCCTGGCAGCATAGTACATGTTGTCAGGGCAGTGAGAAATGAGGAGACACATATGTGCTAAGAGTATAAAATCTTTTATACAGCATAAGTAGGATTTTTTCCTTTGAGATAAATTGCACAGCACATTCAGTCTAGCAGATATTAGTACACATTTCAAAGTTTCTTAGAATACATTTCTAATGTTACTGTAAAATTATGTATAATTGTAGTGATGGACATCACCCTATTTAGCTTGATATAATTATTTCACAAAATTTTTCATGAATCGTATTAGTTTCGTACCTTAAATGTATTGCTATAGATTGTCAATCTACAATTATAATATTTAAAATGTCAGTTAGAAAGTAGATGTGGCATATACGGTTAAGTATAGCCAGGGCCATAAAGTTCCCTTCCTAAACTCTTGGTTTTGTTGATAAAAACATATGAAAGTAAGCAAGATGGGAATTGAGGACAATTTAGTGGAGACGGAGATGGAGAATGCGCTGAGCACCAGGGAATGTGTGTGTGGGAATGGAAGAGTGGAGAGAGAGGGTTGTGCATTTAGTAGAGTGGAGCCTTGAAGGCAGACTGGCTCATGGGGAGAGAAGGAGAATCCCAGGTGCTCTGGGCTGTGGTTGGTCACGTGGTGCCCAGGTCCTCTGGGCTGTGGTTGGTCACGTGGTGCTCAGGTCCTCTGCTCTTGTTTGGTCATTAAAGACAGGGCCACAGTTGCGACCGCACAGGCCTAGAACTTGTCATGTAGCCCAGGCTGCCCTCAGTCTGCAGCAGTCCTCATGCCCTCTCTCCCAAGTTCCATGAGTTTGGAGGTCTTGCTCCCTGATCCTCTCAGAGTCTTACCCATTCTTAGCTTGTCTTTTTCTTTCCTTTTGTTTTCTTTTGAAATGTGGCCTTTCCTAGATTGTTAAGTGGAGTTTTTCTTTGATGGAGGAGGAAACTTGTCTTTAATAAGGTCCCCCCCCCAATCTGATCTGATATCTAACCACCCCTGTGTACCTAGATAAAGAGCCACTGACCTTTGACTTTAGTTGAAAAGGTGTAGCAGGCTGTTAGGCCCAGTCATGCCATCTGTCTTAAAGGAACCTGACGTGTGTGTCCAGGAAACAGGTAACTGTAGAGGGCCTTTTATTCCCCCTCCTCCTGCTTACCATCCTCTACCACATGAACACAATTATTTCTTCACAAATAAGCATGATTGAATTCCTTTTTTGAGCTCTTCGGAAACCATGCAGGAAGTTGGTTGGCCTGTTTTAGGGGTAATCGCCGGGGCTCTATAGATGGTTCTACAGTTGATGTCTGCAGGTCTGTAGGTAGCTGTGGAGTGGGGATTCCCCTCTGTTTCATGTTTTCATTCTTACTCTTCTGTAAAATCAAAGTGGCCAACTGAATATAAAAATTCCTTGGAGCCTTATTCATCTTTTTGTTTCTCTCTTTATACACTGGGAATGACGCTTACAAATTTTGTTATTAAATTAAAATGATGGATTGGGCTGCCAAGTAACTACCACAGAATCAGTGGATTTAAAATCAAATGTGTCTCCACACTGCAGTGTGAGACTCTGAGGGGAAAATTCTTTCCCAGGCTCTTCCTGTCTGGCCACCTTCTCTCAACCGTCTTGTGGCAGACCCTGCAATGCTGTTTCTTCCCATGATGAAGACACGGATGGCATTATGTGTTCCACTCTGAGGATTTTATCCATAACCAATTAATTCCTAAATTATATACTCTAGGATCATTACATTAATGGTCATTATAAAATTCTTGGATTTTAGAGGACCTACTTCGATGAACAGACACCACTGTGGAAACAGAGAGGAAAATAATTCATGGGATTTGTACTTCATGACCTTTTAAATCAGAACAGTTCTAAATACTTATTTTATTTTTATGAGTATGAGTGTTTTCCTACATGTATGTCTGTGTAAAATGAGTGTGCCCTGAGACCTGTGGCTATCAGAAAGATGCACTGGTTCCTGTCCTAGTTTGGGCTACTATTGTTCTGGATAAACAAATGACCAAAAGGCAAGTTGGGGAGGAGAGGGTTTGTTCAGCATGTATTTCCTAATTGTAATCCATCATTGAAAAACAGGATGGGAGGAACTCAAAGTAGGCAGGAATCTGCAGAGGCCACGATGGGCCATGCTTCCTGACTTGCTCCCAATAGCTTGCTTAACCTGTTTTCTTTTAGAATCTAAGACCACCAGCTCAAGGATGTAGCCTCCACAATGGGTTTGGACCTCCCCAATTATTCAGAAATTAAGAAAGTGACTTGACTAGATCTTATGGAGGCATTTTTCTCAATTGAGGTTCCCTCCTTTTAGTTAACTTTGGCTTAGGTCACGTGGACATAAAACTCGCTGGCATGAAATCCCCTTGAACTCGAGTCACAGATGACTGTGATCTACCATTTAAGTGCTGCCAACCAAACCCAGATCCTTTGTGAAAGCAACAAGCACATTTTACTGCTGAGCCATCTCTCCAGTACTGTTTTCTTTTTCAAAGAACATATCTGTGTAATGTTATTTATTCTACAGAACAAGGTGTATTGGAAAGAAACCATCCTAATGTTGAATTTACTGTTGCTTTTGCCTCCATTCTCTCCTGGCAGAGCTGGCCTGCTCTTCGCGCTCACAGTCTTCCAGTGTATTATAAGTGTGACTGCGGGAGAGGTTCTCATGATTGACAGGGATTGTTTTCCGTGAGTAACCCCTGCTCCAGAAGTAGGCATCAGGGTGGGGATCAAATTAATTACATTCATAGTTGGGTCTAAAGTGTTATGTCATGAATTACTAGCAATTCCCCCTTTTCTTAATTACTTAGTTGAAAATAAACAAACTATGAAATTTGGTTTTTATCATGTGGTACCATGAATTTTGAAGTATGTAAAGAGTTTTGTAATATTAATTGAAAAATGGGTGGAAAATCAAGAGCAGAGGTTTTTACTGCTCAGAAAAAGTCTCATAATTGGGGTGAGACCAATAGATCCCCAAGCTGCAGACAACACAGTATGGGGGCTGAACATGATAGGAAATTCACCCACCCCCTCAAAAAGAAAGATGTCAGGGGCTTCATAGAGCTTGGGTATTGTGGGCTCAGCAGCACGTTGGAACTAGAGAGAAACAGCTGCACAAGAATCAGGGTCCTCTTCATGATGGAGGGCTGGAAAGAGCCAGACAGCAGCCTAACATAGAAGAACTGTTTATATCTGTGTTTTTCAAACATGGAATAACCTTTTCCTGGTGGTCTGTGCTTAGGATTCCTTGCTCTCAAAGATGGCCAAGTACACGCCAAGGAGGGAAGTCTTCAGAGAGAAACTGAGGGCCTTGGTTAGTTGGTAGAGTGCTGGCTCTGTGTGCGTGAAACCCTGTGTCACAGTGTCACAAAACCCTGAGCATGGCTGTATTTCTGTAATCCCAGAATTTGACTACCAGGTTAGAGGTAGGAAGTTGCTCATTCTTGGGTATGCATGGAACTTAAGGCCAGCCTGGACTGATGATTCTTTATCAAAAACAAAACCAAACCCAGAGATTCACTGAAGAATGAGAGGAAGAGCTTAGGATTTGGAGGGGGAGGCAGAGAAAGGGGTAGGTTTGGCATCTGGTAAAGATTCATGGTTATAAAGAGAGATTATTGGAGGATGCATCTATTCTAAAGTGAGGGTAGCAGAAGAGAAGGATGTGGTGTCTTGAAGCTGCACTGTGACCTCAGAGTGACAGTGTCACCTTCTTCATAAGAACTGGAAGGAGAGAAGTCTCCATGACCAGTGTCTGAGGTGAGGTACAAATGAGCTCCTCCTCAGGGAGCCAGCTTCAGAGGGGCAGAGACTCTCAGGAGAGTGGGCACATTGGGCTGTTTCCCTGGAGGGGCTGTTGTGTGGCCAGAGTGGACAAAAGAGGGGAGAGTTCTCTGGAGGGGAGAATAGTAGTGAGAATGTCATAAAGCTATTGACCTAGATTGACTGGTCCCTAAGATGGGGACATGTGTGGGAGTCAGCATGGAGTACAGAGGACAGTGTCCTGTTAGGCTGCCGGTGGTAGCAAAATCAGCGTAACCAGCATTTCCCTTGTGCTTTCTGGACTAATCTAAGGATGTATAATGTGATCTTTGTCTCTGTAGACATGAGTATACCAGTGGATACTACAGAGTGTCATCGTATTTCCTTGGGAAATTGCTGGGTGAGCTGGTACCCAGGAGGTTATTGCCAAATATTATATTTACTGTTATAGTATTCATCATAGCAGGTAAGTGACAAAGCAAGAGAATGCATCTTTACTCTTGGCGAGCATGTTTTGGTTGGACAGCTGTGGCAAGACTAAAGTAGAAGAGCAGAATTAGAAAAGCACACCTCCACTGTGTGCCATGAAAATAGGAGTTCAGTGTGAAGAAATTCTTCAAGACTTGTTCACAAAATAGTACAAAAGCCGTTTATGAAACGGTGCTTTTACTAGAGATTCTGTGCACTCTAACGAATGTGGAAATAGCTACATATTTGAGACAGTGCCAATGGAGCAAGATCAATTATTAGATATCTACGCAAAGGTATTTTAAAAGATTTATCTTCATTTGTTTGCCGTGTGTGTGTGTGTGTGTGTGTGTGTGTATACTAAGTGGATCCAATGCCTAGGGAGGCCAGAAAAGAACATCAGATTCCCTGGAACTGGAGTTACAGAATGTGAACTGCCGTGTAGGTGCTGTGATTGGAATCCAGGACCTTGCAGTAATAGCACATGCTCTTAATCAGTGAGCTATCTCTCTACCACAGCTGTATATTTTTCCTGTGTTTATGTATATGTGTCTGTATATGTAAATACGACATAGAAAAGTGGATAATATCTCATATTTATATATGTTGGAGGAAAAGAACTGCTTGTTGGTTCCCGGCCACTTAGTCCCAAAATAATCACACAGAAACTGTATTAATTAAATCACTGCTTGGCCCATTAGCTCTAGCTTATTATTGACTCACTCTTACATATTAATTTAACCCATTTCTATTAATCTGTATATCACCACAAGGTCCTGGTCTACCAGCAAATTTTTGGCATATCTGTCTCCACAGGCAGCTCCATGGTGTCTCTCTGATTCTGCCTGATTTCTCCCAGCATTCATTTTAGTTTTCCCCACCTAGTTCTGTTCTTTTGCCCTATCACAGCCCAAGACAGTTTTTTTATTCATTAACCAATAAAGGCAACACATAAACAGAAGGACCTCTCACACCATATGTATATGTGAAAAAGCACTTAAATGTATAAAATGTCTTATGCTAAGTCTTGTTGACAATATGTAATATAAAATATTATTTTAAATATGTGCACAGATTTATTTGTGCATTATGGATAGGCTTCACCCTAAATTAATTGTTCATAATTTACATACTTTTTACACACACACTCATAAAGACACACAGACATGCACACTCATTCACACATGTACATATATGCACATACACTCTCTCACACACATAGACTTTCAAAAATAAGCACTGATAGCGATTAGATGTCACGCCCACCTCAACCAGCAAGGATGACGCAACACGGGAGCTCTTCTCGCTAGCAGTTTATTCAGGACCTTTTACAATATCTCTCTCTCTCTCTCTCTCTCTCTCTCTCTCTCTCTCTCTCTCTCTCTCTCTTTGGGCAAACCTCTCCCAGCCCTTAAAAAGGCACAGGCCGCCAACCCCGGATTGCCAGGTGGGCACTGCCCATAGGTTCACGCATATGCAAGCAGCTGACAATCATTGCGTGATCAGGCCTTAGCCAATATTAGGAGCTGATTATCAGGTGTGGCTCCACGCAGCTCTCTATAGTTCCCCTTTTTGTTTTGTAAAGCAACAGGCAAGAGTAGAGGTCTGGTCTCTATTAAAAATGGAACATGTACTAGTGTCTGTCCAGGTGTCATCCACTCAGAGAACACTAGACCTGTCCAGTGTCTTTTTACAGAGGTGGGAGTTAGTCACCAACCCACATGCAATCAGACTTGCTCTTCTTGAGGCTGATGTATGCTTGCCTCAAGTGCAGTGCACAAGCCTCACATCCTGTGCTCAAATATAGATAACCAAGCTTGAGGGGACTGTCCTGCTTCCATGACCATGAAGGCCTGAATGATCTTTACTGCATTGTGATGCCGTGAAACCCTTATGTGACAAATGCACCATAGGCATACCAGGGAGGCAAGCACCACCAAGCCTGCTAGGGCTCCTATTCCCACCCACTCCTTCAGATGATCCATGGCTGTAGATGATACAGGAGAATAGTCCTTCTGCCAGGCTGGTATCCATGCGTGTGGAATTTGCAGTCACTATCGCCACTCGCAGCTTTTCCAGTTGTTTTTTGAATTCACCAGACCAATTACCTAAAAGATATCTAGACAATTCTTTAGACAAATTAGCTGCATGGGTTAATCTTTCATACTGAATGCTGGTCACACACAGCCCCGGATGGATAGAAATGTCTGACAGACTAGAGTATAGACTTGCCTCTCTTTTACCTGGCTCCTTTTTCCCCCATGCCCTACTATTTCCCACACACCCTTTTCCCCTCAAGTCAACAGAGGTGTGTGACTATATCAGACTCGGGACTTTTAGGAGTGGCTTTGCCATGACCCCAGGAGCAGTCAGAAACCACTGCTCCTTCAGCAGTCTCCTAAATAACATACCCCAGCTGCCATACCCCTGTGGCACATTCATTCTTGTCAGCTGAGTGCATGGAAGACACCTTCTCGCTAGTGCACCTCTTTGGCTTCCCTAGCAGCCCAGCTGATCCTGCTTTTGCTAAGTGACCATTTGCTGCATTCTCATGGGTTGTCTTATCTTACACAGGATTCAAAGATGAATGCCCATGGCAACAGGCATTAAGATTGCTAGCAATAGGGTCCCCAGTCACCACTGGACCCAACCACCTCCCATTTGGGCTATGGTATTCTACCTTGCCCCGCTGCTGCGCTGCATTCTCGGGCAGCCCTGTGGGGTCTGTGCTCCAGCTTGTCTCAGCTCCAGCACTTGTTGCGTTTGCTGATACTCCGGGCACTGCTGTGGCATCCACCAGGCTAGGCACCGACTGGGCTGAGGCAATGTGCCTTCCACCACAGCCACCTAGTAAAGCTCTGCTCCAGCTGCCTTCTAGCCCCACTACATTCGTTCTGGGTCCAAACTGGTGCATGGAGTGGAGTGGAACTCAGGAAAGCAGGCTTGCTGCTCTGCAACCACTGAAGGGTGGAGCAGAACTCAAGAAAGCAGGCTTGCTGCTCTGCAACCACTAAAGGGGCCCCACTTACACCATGTTTTAGGGAATTTGGGCATTGTCAATCTGTCTGGCTACTTCCTGATGAGCAGGGAGGCTTCATTCTTTTTTTAATTTATTTATTAATTTATTAATTAATTAAAGATTTCTGTCTCTTCCCCACCGCGAGGCTGCATTCTTATTGCCATTTTCCAGTCCTGCTCGGACTGGGGTCACAACAACAGGGGAGAGGCAGAGACTCCACCTCCCCACCAAGCTATAAGGTGGAGGCCTGGTATCACAGAAGCACTGGAGATTCCATCTTACCGGACTGCCCCGGGCTAGGACAGAGGTCCAGGTCTTATCTTGGTTGTGGTGGCTTCTACACCCTGAGGCACACACTGGGAGTGGCCTAGCATTCTGGCCTTGTAGGTCCTCAAAGCAGATCCTTTGCACGCTTTGCAGCTCCTCAGCTCTAGAAGCCTGGAGCTCCTTGGCCTTGGAGCGGCAGCCTCTCACACTCCACTGCAAACTCAGGAGGTCTCTGTAATTCAAACCATATGAATATACCTCCTTTCCTTAGCATACCTTGTTCGGCAGCAAAATCCAGATCTCTACCAAGCTTGTCCCAGGATGACACATTAAGATTGCCAGAGACGGCAAACCAAGGAGCAATTGTGTCACATTCAGCCAAAAACCTCTCCAATGTGCTCTGTAACAGCTCGTTAAGAGCCAGAAAAATCAGGTGTGATGTTGAAGCGCCCATTCTAAAATCCCATTCTTTCTTTTAGTTTCACTTTGACCCATCCACTTTGGTCATGGCTCTACTGTTCCGCTCTCCCTTTTCTACAGGTGAGAGCATAAAACCCGCATTTATTGTGATTCCTCAATCTTACCTGAGGATTTACTGGTGCACCCCCTGACTGCAGCAAGTTCTGGGCTCCATGGAGAGAGGTTTGGAGGTTTCCCGTACAAGGCCACCAACTGTCACAGCTCTACCTCGACCAGCAAGGATGACGCAACACCGGAGCTCTTCTCACTGCAGTTTATTCAGGACCTTCTCTCTCTCCCCCTCTCTCTCTCTCTCTCTCTCTCTCTCTCTCTCTCTCTCTCTCTCTCTCTCTGGGCAAACCTCTCCCAGCCCTTAAAAAGGCACGGGCCACCAACCCCAGATTGCCAGGTGGGCACTGCCCATAGGTTCACGCATATGCGAGCAGCTGACAATCATTGCGTGATCAGGCCTTAGCCAATATTAGGAGCTGATTATCAGGTGTGGTTCCACGCAGCTCTCTACAATTAGACATTTTTTATAAGAGATTTATTATTCAGAACCAGTCATTTTCAGGCTGTGGGATGGTTATGGGAAATGTGCTTATCTTGCAAATCAGGCAACCTGAATTTGATCCTCAAAATTCACAGTGGAAGAAAGAATCTCCAGAAAGATATTCTTCAACTCCACATGCACACCATGGCACATGCACACCATGACACATATACGGGGTATCTCTGCAGACCCTGCTGAAGAATTAAGCCAGCCACATGCAACTGCCTCTGACTGAGGAGGAGAAGTGCGTCGCTTGCCACCCAGCCCCTGGGGTCTGGAAGACAATCAGATGCAGCCAGGAGTCGAGTCAAGCAGGAACTTGTTTATTGCCTTACACCAGGCAACTTATAAAGCAAAACCCCACGAATTCCAGAAGAAGTGGAAGGGAACTTAGCCAATCACATCAGCAGTCATGTCTGCATGACCTGAGGATCCCATAGCCCCTAATGGGGATCACGAGGGCATCAGGCACTTTATGTCACCTTACCCCCTCTCTAAACAAACATCTTCTTATAAATAAGTCAGATCTCCTCCTCCCTTGCTCCTCTTCACTGCCATCTTGGCTGGGAATATTCTTCATGGGCTTTGCACCATCACTGTTTTTGAATTTTGTGCCCTTTTCTAACTGTTATGCTTTTGGCATAGCTGTCATGCTTTTGGCACCAACTGTACCTTTTTCTAACTGTCACTATTTTGCACTAACTTGGCCACTCCAGTCTCCTATATGCTAATACTCGATTCAGCCCACATACATGCACACCATGGTACATGCACACCATGGAACATGCACACACCATGGCACATGCACACCATGGCACACGCACACCATGGCAACCATACCCACAAATGCATTTTGCACACCATGATTGTAATAACATTAACTTTGTAAACAATTAGGCATGGAACTCAGTTCCCCAAATTCTAACTTGTGTCCTTGTGACTATTATAAAACACAGGATTGTGTGTGACTCAGCCTTAGCTCCATAAAGATTACAAATCAGCTTGTGGAAACCATCCCCTACCTCCAGAGTAGTTACATAGTGATTTCCGAGGGATAACTAAAGTTGAAGGCAAGCCCCTGTCTTCCAGGTATTAAAACCACTGCACGGTTGTTTAATCCTTGTCTTAGTTAGGTTTTTAGTGCTGTGGCAAACACCATGACCAGAATCAACTTGTGGAGGAAAGGTTTTATTTCATTTTATAGTTCAATATCCTTTTCAGAAGGGAATTCAGGGCAGAAACTCAGCACAGGAACCTCGGGGCAGGGAGTGAAGCAGAGGCCATGAGGAGTGCTGCTTACTGGCTCCTAATGGCTTCCCCAGGCTGCCTTTTTTATAGAGCCCAGGACAACTGCCCAGGGATGGCATCATCCACAGTTGTCTAAGACCTCCCACATAAATCATCCATCAAGAAAATGCCCTCATAGGCTTGCCTACCTGCCAATCTAATGGAAGCATTTTCTTAGTGAGTTTCCTTCTTCCCATAGAACCCTAGGCTGTGTTAAATTTACAAAAAACAACAACTGACACAGTCTGGATCCCAATTTTATTACTAATGCAATTATAATAAACACAGAGGAAAGTGGACATGAATGTGTTCTATTGCTGATTCTCCTGTGAAAAAAATGCAATAAAATTTGGGCCACTCGTGTAGTCTGTAGTTTTCCATGTCAGGATCCCATACATTGCTCATAATCTTATATAGAGGAGAGCATGTGTTATAAGTAAAGATATTTTGTGACAAGAATAAAAATAAAGCGATATGATGAGGTTGGAGGGAGGCTCGTTGGTTAAGAGCATGTGCTGCTCCTCCAAAGTCCCGAAATTTTGTTCCCAGCATCCACATGATCAGGTCACAGTTAGAGACACAGAGAAGTTGGGTGGCCATGAAACTGTTACCAGTCTCATTGATTATTAAAGCATTGTTTGAAATATGTACAATCTCTTGACAGATATAGATGAACTGACCCTACTTTTTTCTTTCAAAGGAGTAAACACAGATGTGAAGGGTTTCTTCGCTATGATATTTAGCATCATGATGTTGACTACTTCTGCCAGTTCCACGCTGCTGTCTCCAGGGGCAGGGCAGATTGCAGTGGGTGTACCAACAACATTCCTTGTGACCATCTACTTTGTGATCACGCTGGTGAGTGTGAATTGTGTTTTTCTGAGAGGAAGAATTTCCTTGTGTTCTTTCTTGCACATGTAACCTGCTTGACTGATCAAGACTTGGGACACGAGGCCTTATTCTAAAGCTTATTATGGTCTGTAGGAGAGAAGGAACTGCCTTTCCTCCTAGGCTTTATGGTTACTGCTCTGATGTCAGTCCTATAAAGAGAGAAGCCATGGAGCCACCTGAGACAGATGTGTTGAAACTTTGCTGGTAACCTCGTGTAGAAATACACAGATTAATGGAGATGGGTTAAATTAAGATGTAAAAGCTAGCCTGTAAGAGCTAATAAGCCAAGCAGTGATTTAATTAATACAGTTTCTGTGTAATTATTTCGGTTCTGTGTAGCCGGGACAAACAAGCAGCCTCCCCCAACATGGTTGGCATGCTGTTTCTTGTGAGCTTTTACCAGAAATTTTTTGGAATCATATTACCAAACTGTAATAAAATAGAACTTTAAGAAATTGGTGTGATTGGCTGATTCTCCAACAACAAGACAGATTGTTGCCTTCCCTTAACACCAGTGTGAGAGACTTGACTGCTCTTTTAATCATAGCAGAGGTGATTTGGTTCAGTAGTCTCTAATGGGAAAGAAGGGTTCATGGTTGTTTTTTACTCTTTACTCTTTGCTTTTTTGGGCACCCACTACCCATCTCTCAAATAAATCCCATTGAATCTTATTATTACTTATAAAATCCTAGCCTTGGCTTTGCTTGTCTCTAGCCATTATTTATTTATTTTTTTACTTAAATTATCCAATCTACCTTTTGCCTCTGGGATTTTTCCTTTTCTCTTTTTATTTATTTTTATTAAAAATTTATTTTACATACCAATTCCAGGTTCCACTCCCTTCCCTTCTCCAGCTCCTCCTACCTTCCCCCAACTCCACCCCTCATCCACTCCTTAGAGATGGTAAGCCTTCCCACACGGCAACAACAAAGACTGGTGAAACACTTTGAGGCAGGACCAGGTTGTCCCCCTACATATAGGATGAGTAAGGTATTCCTCCAAAAAGAATGTGCTCCAAAAGGTCAGTTCAAGCACTAGGTCCAAATCGTGGTCCCACTGACAATGGTCCCATAGACTGTCCAAGCCATACAACTGTCACCCACATTCTGAGAACCTAGTTTGGTTCTATGCAGGTTCCCCAGCCCCCAGTTAGGGAATCAGTGAGCTCCCACTATCTCAGGTCAGCTGTTTCTGTGGGTTTCCCTACTTTTTCTCACTTCTGTGTGTCTTAACTCTCACTCTTACTCCATGACTGGCGGTGTGAATCTGTGGCTGTGTAGCTGAGTGGCTGGCCCCAGCATCCTCCTCTTCTCCTTTTCTTGTTCCTCCATCTTCTCAGATTTCTCCCCCCAGTTATTCTCTTTGCCTGGCAACCCTGCCTATCCTTTCCTGCCACATTTTTGGCCCTTCAGCTCTTTATTAGAATCAGGTGTGTAGACAGGCAAAGTATTTCAACTTGACAAAGTTAATCAAATGCAATAAAAAAGAATGTGTCATATCTCTGCATCATTAACCAATGTTCCACAGCATAAACATGTGTAAGACATCTTAAAATAATATTCTACAAGAATGATCAATGTAACTGTTCAGCACTAGGAGTCTATCTCAGGGCTCATTGTGTTCTGAAAAGTGTTAGGAATAGTGGAAGATTCCAGACTCCTCATCACTCTCCAGTATTAGCACACTACTAATCAAATTTCTGTAATTGGCTACCCAAATTTAGTCTTTTATGAATATGGATTACACATGGTGGTGTCATTGGAGAGACTTGGTGGGGAAAGTCTATTGCAGGACGGGAGGGTCTTTGGGTGTTTATACTTCTGTACCCCTTCCTCTTTCCTCTCTGCTTTATACTATCACGTGAAGATGTGAGCACTCAGCTTTCTCTCTGAACTCCTTGGCTGCTGCCTGCTGCCTGCTGCCTGCTGCCTGCTGCCTGCTGCCTGCTGCCATGCTTCCCTGCCAAATGGCCTCTTATCACTCTGGAAAGTCAAGGCCATGGATCTCTCTCTTCTACAAGCTGCCTTGATCATGGTGCTGTGTCTCAGTAGCAGGGAAGTAACTGCTACATTTCCTGTCGCTCTTGCCATTCTCCCCTCCCCTTCTCATTCTTAGTTTAGATTTTGTAAACCACTGGTTCTACTTAGCTGTGCCCATATGTGCCTGTGTGCTGGGCCATCTACTGGAACATGGGTAGGCTCTCAGGGGCCACATCCTTAAAGAAAACTGGCTCTCCCCCTCCCATCAGTCATCACTGCCAATAGCTCCTCAGATAAGCGAAAAAAGCCAGGATTTTTTTGTCTTGATCTTGTACAGGTGATGTCCATGCTGTCACATCTGCTCTGCACTCATATGTGTCACTGTCCTGTTGTGACAGGAATACACTGTCTTGTTGTAGTTGTCCATGCCTCTGGCTCGTACAGTCTCTCTAGCCTCTCTTCAAGATGTGATCCTTGATCCTTGGGAGGAGGATGTGATATCCAGATGTCCCATTCAGGGCTGGATCCTCTGACATCTCTATTCTCTGTATATTGACCGTGGTGGGTCTGTCTTAATCACTGTCTCCTGAGAAACAAAGCTTGTCTGATGAAGGTCTGAGATATAATAATCTGTGGGTGTCACAACAACTCATAAGAAGTCAGTGTAATACCATGTCCATTTAGAAGATTAACAGTAGATTCTCTCCTGGGACCTATGACTCCACTAGACACAGCATTAGACAGGATTTCCATCTCATAGAGCAGGCCATAAATACAATCAGAAAATGAATGTTTGGTTAGTAGTCTGTCCAGTGTTCCCCATATGTTTCTTTTTCCCCATGAAAATGAAAAGCAGAAAAAGTCCAGGTGGGATCATCATTGTCCCTGAGCACACTCACAACTTCACCATGAGTCTCCTGAAATCCCTACCCGATATTTTAGCATTTCTAGCTCACTGCCCATAGTGACAGCACCCAGTCAAGATGTAAATCACTACATATAAGAGACAAGGAAAAACTGATGGAAACTCTGACCCATCATGTTAAGGATTAGACTCAGAGTACTCTGTCAAGCATGCTTCTCTGGACTACAGATTAATTTCTATAAAGGAAGCCTTGACATTCTGGTTCTTAGACCTAAAACTCTCTACCATTTTGGGGCACTCTTGTTGGGGTACAATGATAGTGTTTTCATCTGTGTCATTGTTGGGGTGCCGGACTCTCAGGGCTTGTGACAGTAGACAAACATGGCTCTTGTGGACAAGATGATCTATAGAAATTGGTTCTGTTGCCATCCCAGAGAATGGACCCCAAAACATAGCAGAAACAGCGAGACTCAAGAACCATTTCCAGGATATCTGCCCATTGTTTATTTTGGTCATTCTACCTCAGAGTGTAGAAGGGAAACCAAGTCACCTTGAAGCCCAGAACTGCCTGAGCACTGTTACATAAGATTTAAAAATGAAATGCAGTTCTACAGTGACTCCAGTGTGGTGGGTGGAGGGTTAAAGATGACAGAATGTGTCCATATACATAAGATGGAAAATCCTGTGTGACTCCATCCCTTTTCCCTTCTTATGTGTGATTATATATTTAAGGGGGAGGATACAGGTGCACGACAGAGTGAGTTTTTCCTGGAGAATATATGGGGAAATTTCAAATGGAATACACCAGATATTACAATATTAAACTGTCTCCTGGAAGTCTCCCTAAATTCTATGAAATAGACTGACCTTTGGTGGGTTAGGAACCCAGAGGAAATTCCACAAATACCAATGAAATAATAAACAAACTAAAAGAGAACTTTAATATACAGTGGTAGGAGTGTACCAGCTCCTCAGATGTGTAGAGCCTCCTCCCTTCCCCATGCCGATGCTGGTGTGATGAAGACTATCTTAGAGTAACTCAGAACTATACTCATTTGTTTAAGATTAAAGTCATTCTCAGAAGGACTGCAAGCCTCTCTCCACATGCATGTTACATATCTCCTGTCCTAGGGAGTTCACGGGCCTTCCACCAGGAAATGATGTCATTTTCACATCAACTGTGTTGCAGGTCACTCCTCCACTTTGCTTTCCCTTAGGTTGCAAAGTTTTCACCCAGACTATTTTGTTAAAATTTCCAGTCCATGGTGTTCTGCTTGGGAACAAAATACTGCTAAAAATTTGAAAAACAAAACAGAAAGAAGTTGAAACAGACCTGGAAAGCTTCTTTTTTGTGTTGTTAACGAAGAGCACAGTTCAGAAGGTTAAGGAGGTGGGACACAGGACATCTAAGTTAGAGACTGATGACATCATTGTCCAGAGGTTATGGACAGTCTTAGCACAAGAAAAACCTTTAAAATTATCATTTAAAAGTCTTGTTTATTATTTTGAACACGATACTAAAAACTTTTTAATGTAAGTAAAACAGCCTTAATAACAGTTTGTTTTGTTGAGTGTCTAGTCTTAACCTTACCTAAGAAAACAAAATAAAACAAAACCAAACAAACAATGACAAAAACAGAAAACTTTCTCTGCTGGACAAGTACATGTATCCCAAGTTGTCCCCTTTGGATCATTCAGGCAGTCTTTAAAAATAATTCTCAAAAGGAACATAACAATCCCTCATAACCTAAAGGACATGGAGTTGGTAGAGTTTACTCTCTTTTTATCTTTGCTAAATGTGCTTATAAAACTGATGTAGAGACCTGAATACTTGGGTAAACTGTACAGCGCATGTGCCCAAAGAGTGATTGCTACATCTGTGTGGCAGGACATCCCCAGTCTCAAGTATCCTTTTCCTTTGAGTGGGGCCCTGGTCCTACACGAGCAAATGGCATGTTGTCCTCTTTATGAGAGGACACATGAGGTATTCAGTTTTGCTAGAGTCTATATCTTGTTCCCAGATAGGCAGGCCCACTGAAAGCCTCTAGTCAACAGAAAGGATGAATTATTCCTCATAGAACAGAGGATGGATTCTCTCTCCAATGGGTGCTGATTCCTGACAGTTTTATTGTTTTTTTTAATCTGATAATATCGTTTATTTGATGGATAACCTAATGTATTTGCTTGTTCAAAATTCACTTAAAGCAGAGTGAGTGATCAAAAAGACAACATGATTTTTAAAACCTATTTATGTTGACTATAGTATATTGAAGAAAATATATAATGAACAGAATAAAAAATTCTAAAATTATAAATTTCAGTGTTGAAAATAAAGATGACACTTTTCAACGTAAACAACACTAATATGAAGTTGCTTTAACAAGTAGAAAATTGCCAATCAAATCAGATTAGAAATGAAGAACTTGTTTTTAATGGGAATCTGAGCCCTGGTACACACTGTTCCTTTGTTTATGTTGGAAGAGTCTCTTTTCCAGTTCACACTCCCTATGAGCTAGGCTTTCTCAACATGTGCTTCTGAGTTGAAGCCATATTCCCTCTACCATTTTAGTGTTCATTACTTAAGCAATGTCACCCTCAAGAACAGCACTGAGATTTTAAAAAAATAAACCGTACCTGTTTGGCTTAAGCACCAAATGTGCATCTGCACCATTCTCTACTAAAAACTCTGCCATCTCGTGTTGATTTTCATATAAGGCAAGTTCCTATGGTGTCAACCCATACTGTAAAGAAAAATTTCATTTTATAAATTGATATGCTTCTCAACTGAAAAGGTATCAAAGATTTTGTAAAGAAAATGAGTCACAAAAGGATAGTTTTTCCTTCAGCTCTTGTTGCAATTTCACACACACAGGGGCTTCCTTCCCTTTGACACACCTTCCCCAGTCCAATATTGCCTGTGAACACCACTCATCTCCAGAAATTTGCACAAATGCTTGCTGGCTCCAAGCTTCTTTGCTCCATGGAGATGTGCCTCCATTTCCCAACCCTGAAACATTGAGTTAGATTTGGTGTGCCTCTGTTCAATGAGTGGACTCAAGTAGCATCTCTGGAGCAGTTGATGTTAAGGATTGTTCCCCTAACCTGGGTCTTTTTTATTTCCATGTAAAATTTAATATCTTTTCCAATTCTGTGAATTGCATTGAAATTTTGATGGTTATTACATTGAATCTATTGATTGTTTTTGGTAGGATAGATAGTTTCATAATTTTCATCCTAGGAAATATAATCATAGGAGTTCTGTCTCTCTTATATTTTTCATCTTTCTTTTTTTCAGTGTCTTAACCTTCTTATTGTACAAGTATTTCATTTGGTTAGATTTATTCCAACATTCCCCTCCTTCCACTTTTTTGAGGTTTTTGTGAATAAAACTGTTTCTCTCATTTCGTTCCTATTATATTTGTAGTTTGTATTTGAAAAAGCTCCTGACTTTTTTATTTGTCATGCCGTTTTATCACAGCCTTAGGAAAGGACCTAAGACAACTGGTGTAAAGTTGTATAAAGTTGCTACATATGACTTTAGAACTAGTTATGAGGCCAACTGGTGTGTTTTCTGTATAACCATTTGTTCAGGTTCAGTCTGAATGCATGCACACACAGCCATTGTTTGCATATTCTAGTGTATCCAAGACTGCATAGGGCAAGTCTTATGTGAACTTCATAGCCATCCCTTGTTCATCCCAGTTCATCATTCATAGTATCTGCATAAACTGGCTATTATAAAGAATCTAAAGGGGGCTGGGCGGTGGTGGCGCACGCCTTTAATTCCAGCACTTGGGAGGCAGAGGCAGGCGGATCTCTGTGAGTTCGAGACCAGCCTGGTCTACAAGAGCTAGTTCCAGGACGACAAGCTCCAAAACCACAGAGAAACCCTGTCTCGAAAAACAAAAAACAAAAAAAAACAAAAAACAAAAAAAAAAGAATCTAAAGGGGCTTTCTAAATGTGTACGATGGGTGTATTTAAAGTTTAAAGAATGTTCATAGATTGCGTGCCATTTTCAAGATTATGTAGTATGTGTAAGTTTGGCTCCTGCAGAGTGGGGTGACTAGTTATCCTTTAAAACCCGCATGGAGTCTTAGCTTTGCAAAAAAGGAGAAATTCTGTTTAGAATTAATTGAAAGAATGTTTTAAAGAACTGGTCTGAGCAGTAACGATCAGAATGTTGAAGGGATCTTGAAGATGAACGATCTTGACTAGAATTCTTAGTTTCTGTACTGGTGCTAATTAGTGGTTTTGCTCTTTGTAGTTTATCTCAGGTCTGTCAGTATATTTCATAAACGTCACACAGGACTTCTCATGGACTCAGTACTTTAGCATTCCGCAATATGGACTTACAGTAAGTTGTCTTGTCTCTCACTGTACTTGGGTTCTCCAACTGTAGCAACTGAAATGATTCCCAACCAAGTGCTTTCACCAGATATACTCTCTAACCAGTTGCTGCCAAGGATTTTCCTTCCAGTAGCAAACGATGAGAACTTTCCTGTTGGTTTTAGCAGAAGTTTAGTGAGACATCTGAGATTTTCCCCAGTCACATGTTATTTGAAGGAAATAAAGGGTGAGAAAAAATCCCAGGGTAAAGGGGAAGGTAGATGATACAATGAAAAGCAAACAGTTGTGATTCTGCCCAATAAGGTAAGGAAAGGATCAGGGACTGTGTTATATAGTTTATATCAGGAAAATAAAAGAAACAGAAACCAGGTGATACCCAGAGCTATACCGGTTTTGCTAACCTTTTTCTGGAGGAAAGTGTGTCTTAATAGACTTTCTTATTCCAATAATCACAACTGGTTTTGATGAAAACAAGCAAGATAATATTGTTAGTATAAATCAGTAGTATTGTTTTAAATATAGTGTTTACAGGGTTATGGACTTGGAGAAAAGGAGGAGCCTGGAGTAGTCTAGTTAGAGAGTCCACCTCTTAGTAGCTGGGAAACCCCATCATTTCAATTCTAAACCTTCGAGTGTAGGGGAGGGGATGGCTTTGCTGGGTAGACTGAACTTGGTGAGAATATTTTTGTTTAAAAATATTTCTGCAAAAGATAAATATATTTGCAATTTATAGTCAAATATTGAACTTGAAGTTATAGCTCTGTTTATTCTTTATAAACATAAAATATTAAACTATTTGCCTTTCCCTGTTCCTGTTTGTGTTATAGGCTTTTCTGCACAATGATTTCCTGGGACAAAACTTCTGTCCAGAAAACAAAACAGCAGAAATCAGTAGATGCCAGAACTTTGTAATGTAAGCTTGACTTCAATGTCACGATGGGGACATAGAATGCTCCTAGACTTAGAGGGAAACCCTCCTTTCAGGATTAACTCTTTGTCCTCTGTCCATTCCCCAGAGTGAGTCATGGTAACCAATGCACAGGTGGCTGTGTTTTCATCCTACTGCTCCAAGGTGTAGATAATTTGCAGAGAGGGTTCTTTAGGGCCTTTTAAAAATGGTTTTGGTGTCTTGATTGTGGATTTGAGTTGTTTCAGAACCTTTGAGTTTGGCATGGCTGCTCTGATAGTTTAAATTGGCATACAGTTTCCACATGTATAGATTATGGCACCTGTGAGCAGAGCCCAAGAACATCAGTAAAACAAAGATAAAAGTGAGTGAAGTTTGTCTGCCAGATTTCAGGGAATTTCCTCTGCCCCACACTCTGGAAGACCTTAAGAAATCAAAGGGTGGTCTCTCTCTCTCTCTCTCTCTCTCTCTCTCTCTCTCTCTCTCTCTCTCTCTCTCTCTCGCTAGCGCACAC